TGTTTACATCATTTTGTGTAAGACAAACTTCAAAACACCAATCTCATAATCTAATCATAGGTCTTGAAATTTTTTTCACAGAACAAATTGTATGTCGTGAATCTTAATTTATTTTTTTATCAAATAAATTATAATTAAAAAATAATTTAGAGGTAATTTTTCTATATAATTATTTTATATAATTTCATATATTATTTAATAACTAATTTTTACATTTTATCATGGCATTTGATATTATATATATTCATTAGTTAATAACTGTTTACACCTAATTTTACAACAAATGGAGTGCTGCCACGTATTACCCATGATGGCAAATATTTTAAAGTTGGTGTGAATCTTTTCAGATGAGATTGAGTGGCTATTTTCACAACGGCAGTAAAACCGTTATTTTGTTGCGAGCTTCCAGGAGAATAATCGTAGCACCAACAAATTAATCAATTTGTTGCAGATATTACGCTGCTGTTGGTTTTTCATGATGCTACCGTAGATTTCCACCATGCTGTCAAGGTGCTATAAATACCTAATGATAAGATCAAGCAAAAGATCGACATCTTACACAACAAACTTAGCACAATTTCTCTTTATGCTCGATTCATCTTAGTTTCAAGTCCTTTAGTTTAGTTTTAGCTCTATGCTTCAATCTAGATTAGTTTAGCAATTTGGTTCTTCTTTTGTCGAATTTGTAATGGTGAGTTTCGCTGCCTTCAGTGATATTTCTTTGTAATCGGATTGCTTCATTTCTTTTTATTTGTTTTCCAGATTTCCTTTAATTTAATCAAATGATGTCGACATTTAATTTCATGTTCAATTCCATTTCTGTTAATTTACATTTCATGCTGCCAGTAGATTTTTCATGCTTCAAGTTTTATTTACTTTAATTTAATTTACTTTTGCTGCAATTAAATTTCCTTTTAAAGCTCTATTTCAATTCAGTTTGTGTATATAAAGTTCAGTTAGATTTTCAGTAGTTTAGCGATCATTTATTTACCTTGCAGTCTTAACTTTTCTTGATTACATTAGCTCGAGGAGTCCTTGAAATTATATCCAGGGCATTTTGTTGTATAACCCATTTAGTGCAGGAAGTTCATCCCTCGTTTCTACCAATCGTCTGATCTTTAAGGTGCAATTTACGACGTTCTTCCATTAACTCATAAGTTGAGTTCCACGCTTGGAAAGAAGAGAGAGGCGTCGAAAAAATCTTTCTTGTTTTGAGCAAAGCAAGTGGCATGCTATTTCATCTGCCACGTGTCAAGGAGATTTTTTGGGATAACAATAATATATAAAAAAAATATAAATAAAAATTATAAAAATAAATTATTATATATTATTATCCATCACAATCAATAAAGTAAAAGTTATATAATTTTTTATGTTAATAAAAAAGAAAAAGTAAGTGAAATTTGTTTTTATAAAAGAAAC